TCCAGGCTGGGAAGAGTGAATCTACAATAGGTAAGGAGCTTGGTGTGAAAAAAATCAACTGTGGGAGCAATTGTAAGAAAATGGAAGCCATAAAAGTCCACTGATATTCTCCTCAATCTGGGGCTCCACGCAAGATCTCATCCCGTGGGATTAAAATGATCATGAAAACGGTGACCAAAAATCCCAGAACTACACGGAGGGACCTGATGTATGACCTGCAGAGAGCTGGGAACAAAGTAACAAAGGCTACCATAAGTAACACACTACACCGAGAGGGACTCAAATCCTGCAGTGCCAGACATGTCCTCCTGCTCAAGCCAATACATGTCCAGGCCCGCCTTAAGTTTGCCAGAGAGCATATGGATGATCCAGAAGAGGATTGGGAGAATATTTTGTGGTCAGATGAAACCCAAATAGAACTTTTTGGTAAAACCCCAATTCATCATGTTTGGAGGAATAAGAATGCAGAGTTGCATCCTAAGAACACTGTACCTACTGTGAAGCATGGGGGAGGAAACCTCATGCTTTGGGGCTGTTTTGTGCATAGGGGAAAGAAAAACTGATCCGTAATGAGGGAAGAATGAACGGGACCATGTATCAGTGAGATTTTAAGCCGAAACCTCCTTCCATCAGTAAGAGTCTCAAAGATGAAACGTGGCTGTAATCTTCCAGCATGACAATGATCCCAAACACACCACCCGGTCAACAAAGGAGTGGCCCCGTAAAAAGCATTTCAAGGTCCTGGAGTGGCCTGGCCAGTGTCCAGACCTCAACCCCATAGAAAATGTGTGGAAGGAGTTGAAAGTACGTGTTGCCCAGCGACAGTCCTAAACATCACAGCTCTAGTGGAGATCTGCATGGAGGAATGGGCCAAAATACCAGCTACAGTGTGTGTGAACCTGGTGAAGACTTACAGGAAATGTTTGACCTACATCATTGCCAACAAAGGCTATATTACAAAGTATGGAGTTGAACGTTAGTTATTGACCAAATATTTATCATCCACCATAATTTACAAATAAATTCTTTGAAAATCCTACAATGTGATAACCTGGATTTTTCTTTCTCATTTTGTCTCTCATAGTTGAAATGTATCAATGATGAAAATTACAGACCTTTCTCATTATTTTAAGTAGGAGAACTTGCACAATCAGTGGCTGACCAAATACTATTCAATGTATTTTAATTTTGGAACCCTCCAATGCAGATGAACACAGCTTTCAGACCTAACAGACATGTTATTCATCACTTCAAATGTTTGTCAATTTCAATTACGTTTATTTATATAGCAGAGAAACAGGACTACACTGGAAAAACATGGCAATCTCGAACATCTATAAACAAAAGT